TATCTCATAATAATGAGATAGCTAAGTCATAATTATTAGATACAAGTTTTATTTATTTTTTTATCTGGGTGGCGGAAATGGGCTTCCATAGTTATAACCTAAAGGGAATAGAGATGTTCATGAAACCTAAATTTAGAGCCAGTCTGAAAGAACAGTGCTCCTCAATCCAAGGAGTGAGATTGTGGAATAATCTGGAAGAGGATGTTAAAAAGATCAATGTACATGTTCAAGAGAACGATAAAGTTGGGCTTTTTTTTATAAATATGAAACAGTATAATATGTATTCATGTAAATTTGTGTTCTAGAAGGATTTGACATTTTTTATGTTTTGTTTTTTGTTAATTGAAGGTTAGTATTATTTGAATTTATACTTGAGGAAAAAAAGGGGGCAAATTTAAGACTTTTCTTCTCTCTGCTGCCTTTCATTTCGTGTTTTTTAATTTATTTATATTTGTACATAGAACTGATTTGTTTTAAAGAAATGAATAAAATTTTTTAAATAAAAATAGATAAACAGTCAACTAGACATATTCCAGTTGTATGAGCTTAGCGTGAGCTGTGTTTTCGTCTGTCCTCCTGCAGAGCGCTTCACATCTATTTGCCCATAAGACAGTTTTTTTACGACATAATCCACCCAGATTACAGTCCCGTGTGCGACGTCTACGCTCTCATGTTTCTTGTTGATGTGGTCAACTTCATCGTTACCATATATGGATACTGGGCTTTCGGGGTAAGACTGTGTACACACATTATTACAACCACAATAAGCTGATTATTGTTGTTAAGAATGTGGAATAATGAGGCTGGTTTTGGTCTTTTTGTAGAAATACTCTGCAGCAGCGGACATCTCAGAGTCTCTGTCTGAAGACCAGGTCCCAGAGGCCTTTCTGGTCATGCTGCTCATGCAGTTTGGCACCATGATCGTTGACCGTGCGCTCTATCTGCAGAAGTCTCTGCTAGGAAAGTGTGTTTTCCAGGTTGTGTTGGTGTTTGGCATTCACTTTTGGATGTTCTTCATTCTCCCCGGAGTCACTGAGAGGTCAGAGTACCTAAATTCATTTTTATGATTTGACTTTAAAAAAGGCTTGAAGACTTTTCTTTTAATCAAGCCTATTCTGCCTCTGCATGATTTATCACTGACTTTAATACTTTTAAAAGAATTTAGGAGTTTTTTTTTGTTTGTATTTTTTTTTGAGGGGGTATTTTTATTTTTCCTGATTTTACATCTTTTATCTTCCGCCACTTGTAGCACTTTGAGATTTTTAACTAATGAAAAGTACGTTACAAATTAAATTCATTATTATTATTATTATTTTTTTATCATCATCATCATCATCATCATTTTTATTAACCTAAATCTGTAGTTTGTCTTTTTGTAAATTATAATCAATAGATTTATTTTAACACAAAAAGCGTATTGTGGAATGCTGATTCAGCATTTTCATGACCTTTTAACTGTTTTTTATTACAATCTAGCCACTTTTGCACTTTATGCTATTTTAGCTTTTTATGTATCAAACCGATTTTTGTTGACTTTTGATTTTTGTAACTTTTATATGATATCTACATATCAAACATACTTGCTTTATTTTTGTGTTCTTGTGCTACTTTTAGCTAGCTTTTTGCTACTTTTGACCAGTGTTTTCCTGCTTTTAATTAGCCTTTGGCTACATTTAGCTTTTTGCAAGTCTTTTGCTTTTATTAACTTTCAGATAGTCTTTGGCTTCTTATAGCTTTTAGATGTTTTTTGCTACATTTAACTATAACATCTCGGTTGCAGTTTCTCTAGTATTTAGTTTTTGTTACTGTTAGAGTTTAAAAAAAAACAATAAAAAAGGGAAAAGTGTTTAAAAGGCACTGAGTTGATTAGGTTTTGGTATAAACTTTCTCACACACAAATGATGAATCTGTTGCTTATTACTGAACAGATCTTGTCTGTTTTTGTTTCAGGAGGTTCAACAGGAACCCAGTGGCTCAGCTGTGGTACTTTGTGAAGTGCATCTACTTCGGTCTCTCTGCCTACCAGATCAAGTGCGGCTACCCAAACCGCATCCTGGGCAACTTCCTCACCAAGAACTTTAACTACCTGAACCTCTTCCTCTTCCAGGGGTACAGAGCACTTTCTAATATCTAACCTCAGAGTGAATATTACACAACCCAAGGGATAATTTCAACTCTCGCCTCTCGCAGTTTTCGGATGGTTCCGTTCCTGACAGAGCTGCGGGCGGTGATGGACTGGGTTTGGACCGACACCACGCTGTCTCTCTCCAGTTGGATTTGTGTTGAAGACATTTATGCCAACATATTTGTCCTCAAGTGCTGGAGGGAGTCTGAAAAGGTAAGTAAGAGTTTTTACTGTTTATGTACTGCTAATTGCATTTTATCATTTATGGATCTCAGTTATATCTTAAGCTTAAATGTGAAAATCATTAGCAGTGCATTAAGCATTTAATTAAAATTACTGGTAGTAGTTGAAACACTGATAATACGATTTAGTTGTGGAAAGGATTTTTTAGCACATTACAAAAAGAAGCCATACTTAATGTTTTTTTTTCTGCCTAATCTCTTGAACTAACTCAAAAGTGAAACTTGTGATACGAGATGCTGAAATGAAAGATCTGAAGTTTAACACAAATCCAATAAATTCTTCCAGAAATACCCCCACCCTCCAGGGCAGAGGAAAAAGAAGGTGGTAAAATACGGGATGGGAGGCTTCATTATCTTCGCTCTGATCAGCATCATCTGGTTCCCTCTCCTCTTCATGTCTCTGGTCCAGTCGGCGGTCGGAGTGACCAATCAGCCTGTGGAGGTCTCCATCCAACTCAGCATCGCCGGATATGAGGTCAGGGAGGAAACCAGTGTTCGTTTGTACTTTTTGTGCCAACGTTCTTCATGTTTCACAGGAAAAATACGGATATGAGGCCCTGCCTTTGTTAACTCATTACTAATCTACCTGTCATAAGTGTAAGTTTAGTTTCTCCTCGTCATCCCCCTCCATGTTTTCACAGCCCCTCTTCACTATGAGCGCCCAGGAGCAGAACTTGGTTGCGTACACAGAAGCAGGATTCAACCGACTCACCAAGATTTATGCCACGCATCCAGTAAGACGCATTTTATTTTATGATAAAATAGAAACAAACCACCTGCACAATGATCTGACACAATAACTAATAAATCTGTGAATAAAACATACTGTATGTTCTCTTATTGTATATGTTTAACAATAGATAACTATAGAGAATTTGCATTTCCTGCGAAAATACTAGTGTGAATGCTTCATGCTGAAAACTTAAGCTGAAAGCTGCTAAAATTGAGTTTAAAATATTTAATAGGAAAAGTGTTAATGTGAGTTCACTTTGAAAAGCTGAAAGAAGCAAAAAAAAAAGCCTAACTTTGCATAAAATAGTAAAAAGGAGCACAAATCACAAAAAAGCATAAAAATCACAAAAAATTCAGTTTAGCTAATAACAGCTTAACATTAGCTAAAATTGCAGCAAACAACTAAATATAGCAAAAAACACCTATAAGAAGCATAAATAGCACAAAGTAGCAGAAAAAAGCACAAAAAGTAGAAAGGCAGAAGAACAGCAGAAAGAAGCAGATCTATTGTTAAAGTAGCTTAAAATAACTAAAATTAGCATAAAATAGGCTAAAGGTAGCAGCCACAAGTCAAAATTAGCACCCAGATAAAGAAAGTGTTGTAAAAAAATGTAAAATTAGCAGAAAAAAATTATATAAAACAGCTAAAAGGCAGCTGGAATTTTAATTAGCATAAGAAAACATAAGGAGCACAAGTTTGCTGAACTTAACTGAAAAACATTGTAATAGCTATAAAAAATGTGTATTTAGCTTAGAAAAGCTAACTTTAGCTAATAGCAGCTAAAGATTAGCTAAAATTTCAGCAAATAGCTTAATTTAACAGAAAGCATCTGTAAGAAGCATAAATAGCACAAAGTAGCAGAATTTTAGCTAAAATAGCAGGAAAAAGCTAAAATTAGTAAAAGAGTAGCTAAAATTGGCAAAAGAATGTGAAAAAGAGCATAACCAGAACAAAATGTGTAAGGTGCTGTAAAGATTTAGAAACATTTTAACGGATTTTAAGGATGTTGAAAACAGCTCCATTCATTTTCAATGGCAAAAAAGTGGATAAAAAAGCAAAATAGCTGAAAAAGGCATAAAAAGCTGGAATACCAAAAGTCATAGCACCCCTCACATGAATGAGCTGAACTTTTTAATAAATAAATTGTTAAAATAACACAAAAATTGTGGAATGAGTTGGATGCCGAAAAACGTAAGGAAAAAAAATTGATCTCTTGTGAGTAGACCTGCTAAAAATGTATATATACTGTTTCTTTAATACAAGAAGTTACATTTTATGTTAATTTAAAACATTAAGACTTTAAAAAAGCTTTAAAATGGCAATTTGGTAACTAACATAAAAGACTGGAAAAACTGAGGACAAAAAAATCTAGTTTAATTGGGTGTGACTGTCTCTTCCAGTCTGCTATGCAGTTTCTGATGAACTACGAGGCTGAGGACATTGTTGTCGCTAAGATCAAGAGCGACGCCAGCCTGCTGTGGAGCATCAGCCCCGCCAGTCGCGCTGCCATGATAGAAGAACTCAGCACCTCTTCTCACATTTACATGACCTTACGCTGGACTCTGGTCAGGTCAGACCTGGGGTTTTACCATGTATGTTGCTGTATTTCATTTGTAAATACCTGAAGAAGACCATCTAAACAGGAAGGAATATGTAATTGATACTGTACAAAATAAATAAATAAATAAATAAATAAACACTGGAGCAACACCCAAAAACCTGGCAGCACTGCAGGTCTGGGTTTCTCCTGGATAATCATAAACAGACAGTAGATGGAGAAGTAAAGATTAAGAGAAAGTAAGATAAAATAAAGAGGACTTATTTTAGCACTGGCTAAAATAAACAACAATGTTCAGAAATGTTGGGATCCTGAAATTATGATATAAATGAGCTTCAAACGTAAGGATCTGCAGTTTGTGAAACTTAGTTTTGCTCTAGAAGTAAAATACGAGGTGTGCTCGTCTCCTCAGGAATGCGTCCATATCCATGGTTGTCGAGTCGGTGGGTGAACACACGGTGAAGTTTGACGACAAGGCCTTGATGGATGGGATTGTCCAGATGCTCAAAGGAAACCGCAGCAAATCTGTGTGAGTTGCAGTGACTCGCTCGCTTGTTTTATCATTTCGCCGAGAAACACAGCAATCTTTACTGTTAGGGTTCAAAATCAACTCTGTTCAAGCATTAAAAAATACAAATAAAAGTTCAATTTAAAAAACAGAAAATCTCACACATAGAAAACTGAGCTGCAGCTCTCTTATGTTGCTCTAACGTCGATGCATTTATGGTGGTAATTACTTTTCCCAGCTGTATGTAAAATTTATGAATCTGCAGTGTTTTTATGACATCTCACCACCAAAACTCAATGCAGGATTTTTTCTGGTTTATTTACAAAGATAATTAGAAAATCTACACTTGGTCTAAAACACTTTACTAAATCTTAACACGATGCAGATTGTCTCTATAGGCCTGAGGCAATAGCATCTTCTGTTGAGCTAAAGCTAAGGGAGGGAGAGAGCAACACAACAGCAGACAAGGAAAGAATCAAAACAAAAACAGAAAGGAATGTTTCTGTATATTGTCCCAGTTTGCTGAGATTTTATCTACAAAAAAGGTGATTCATTTGTTCTTTTGTTGTACAGGATAATTCAGTCTCTGCTGCCAAAGTATATCAGAGGACCCAAAGGACAAGAGTCCAAAATGGCAACCAGGATGTCAGTTGGTACGTGAATGTTAAATAAGGTTGTTAACGCTGCAAAGAGCCTTCCCCTGGAAAATGATTGTAATGGTTAATATGTTTCAGCTGACAAGTGATTTTACCTCGAGCGGCTTCTTGTTTCCCAAACAACCCGTCAGATGATGCAAACTGTGGGATGAAGGAGATAAAACTCTGTCAAAAAGATTGCAAAAATTATGCTGTAATTTTCCGTCTGCCTACTTTTTCCCCCTCAGAGTCGTCAGAGCGTCCAGACCTCCAGGCGCTGGCTTTCTTCAGGCCCATGTCCATTAGACTGGAACAGGTGAACGGGACATCGGACCAACAGGCGGACCAGTGGTGGGTGGTGGAGGAGTGCTCGCCTGTTCTCACAGCCTCTGAGCACAAATGTCGCAGCATCGAGGTCGGCGTGTTCAACGATAAAGTCAGCCCCTCCAGTCTGGGCTTTCTGGCTGGACATGGGTAGGTTTCAGGACCAGTGGGTCTTTTATCATTTAGCTTCCAACGTGCTGTTTCATGGTGTGAGTGCTGAGTCAGCATTCACACGGAATTCTTATCCTGTTAATAGTTTGTCTGTTTCTGCTATAAAACCAGAGTTGTAAAGTAACTAAGTACAAACACTTTGTTACTGTACTGAAGTAGAATTTTTGGGTATCTGTACTTTACTTGAGTAATTATTTTTCAGCCTAATTTTACTTCTTACATTTTCACACAGTTATCTATATTTTCTACTCCTTACATTTTTTAAAAAGGCAAGAAGTAGAAAGTCGTTACTTATATATTTTTTTTTTTTGCTTGTTTTCATTCCAACTTGTTTTTGTAAAAAATAAATACTATCCATATAAATTGTGCCTCCTAGATAGAGTGAATATAATTGTGGTTGAATGAGA